AACTTACCGTTCTTCTGACAGCTGTCACACTTCTTGACATGTTCTTGGGAATCTGCCCCCATGGTTGGCCAGTAATAACCAGCTCCGAGGGCTTTTCTGGCCAAGGCTTTTCCACCCATGTGGTGCCCATTTATCCCTTCATGGTTCTCGGCAAGAACATACTCGGCTCCCTCCGAGTCCAAGCATTTTAGCATGGGATTATGCAGGCCCTGTCTAAATAGCTGGTCATTCACAATCGCATATTGGGTCGCATCTCGGACCAGCTTCCTGGCTTCCAGGCGATCCTCTGGCAGTATGCCTTTCTCCAAATAATCAACCAGAGGTTTTCTCCAGTCATTTACAGAGGTTACCATCATCACACAACTCGACGTTGTTATGCTTTGCTGCACCACAGTTATGTGATTCCCTGGATTTTTGGTGCTGGCTAACTTCGACAAAATATCAGCTCGGCTATTCTCCGCTCGCACGATGTGATAAACCCGGACCTCATCAAAGTCGGCCATAATTTCCTGGACCCGGCTCAGGTATTTCATCAGTAGAAGACCTTTGGCTTGGTACTTTCCTTCTATTTGCGAGGTTACCAGCTGTGAATCGCTGAACATGTCCACTTTCCTAACGTTGTGTTCTTTGGCCTGAATTAAACCAGCTATCAGGGCCTCATATTCAGCTTGATTATTGGAAGTTGGGAATCCCAGGTTCAGAGAATGCTCTATGGTCACTGCTTCTGGGCTTTCTAATATGATTCCAGCCCCACTTCCTTTAATGTTGGACGATCCATCAACGTAGACCTTCCAAGCATCCCCGTGTTCCTCATTCTCTGAGTTTTGTGGTGTTAATTCCATTATGAAGTCGGGTAAAGCTTGTGCCTTGATTGCTTTCCAACTTTCATAAAAATGTCGTATTCACTGAGTTCTATTGCCCAGGTAGCCATTCTTCCTGTCAGGTTTGGTTTGTGCAACACCTGTCGAATAGGCTGGTTAGTCCTCACAATGATTTGATGGCCCTGGAAATACGGCCACAACCTTATAGCCGTGATTAATAGGGCAAAAGCCACTTTTTTCTAGCATTTGATACCTAACATCTGCACCTTGTAATGCTCTACTGACAAAGTAAATCGGCTCCTGGCCTTCGTTTGTTTCCTTGATCAGCACAACACTTATTGCTTCCTCCCCTACTGCCAAATAAAGAATTAAAACATCTCCTGGGTTTGGCTTTGAGAGGATCGGTGGAGTTGATAAACACTTTTTTATTTTTTCAAATGCGGCTTCGCACGCCGGGTTCCATCTGTCAGTTGCTTCTTTCTTTAAAAGTTTAAAAAAAGGGAGGGCATGTTCTGCCGATTTCAGAAGGAACCGTGTTAGCGCCGCTATACGTCCGGTTAGCTGTTGCACCTCCTTTTTATTTCGAGGCACAATCATGTCAAGAACTGCCTTGCATTTATCTGGGTTTGCCTCAATTCCTCTGTGGGTTAACATGAAACCGAGAAATTTTCCAGCTGCCACCCCAAATGCGCATTTGACTGGGTTGAGACGGATGCGATACTTTCTGAGCTTTTGAAAAGTTTGCTCAAGGTCCCGGACATGATTCATCATGTCAAATGACTTCACGATCATATCATCTATATACACTTCAACATTTTTCCCCAGCTGATCTTTAAAGACCTTATTCATCATTCTCTAGTAAGTTGCCCCTGAGTTTTTAAGCCCAAATGGCATCACATTGTAGCAATAGTTGGCATTTTCAGCAATGAAGGACGTTTTTTCTTGATCAGCTGGGTACATCAGGATCTGGTTGTATCCTGAATAGGCATCCATGAAAGATAACAGACGAAATCCAGCCGAATTATCCACTAGCTGATCTATTTTGGGCATAGGATAAGAGTCCTTTGGGCAAACTTTGTTTAAATTCGTGTAATCAGTACAGATTCTCCATTTCCCATTCGGTTTTTTCACCATGACCACATTAGCTAGCCACGTTGTGTACTGTATCTCTCGAATGAAACCGGCATCCAAGAGTTCTTTAACGTGTTCCTGTAGAATTTGTTGTCTTTCAGGTCCCAGTTTCCTTTTCTTCTGCGAAACTGGCTTGGACCCCTGATGAGCTGCCAATTTGTGACAACAGAACGCGGGGTCGACGCCAGGGATTTCTGACGACTTCCATGCAAATACATTCGTGTTGCTTTTAAGAAAGTCGACCAAAATTTGCTTAATCTGGGGGTCCATGGCCTTACCAATGCGAATAAACTGACCAGGCTCTACCCCCAGCATTACATCCTCGAGCTCTCCATCAGGTTCAGGTCTCGGCATTACTTCTTCTCTCATGTCGAGTTCAACCATTTGGACCGGTTTCTTAGATTGTTGAGGAGTTAGATTTCTACTACTTTTATCCCCTGGTGAATTCGGGGTGGGCTTGAACGTCCCCCTCCATTATCTTTGATAGTACCGAAGTAACAACCTCTGGATTCCTTCTGATCTCCACAAACAGTGATTACTTCATTCTTATTGCTCACCATTTTTAACTTCTGGTGTTTTGTAGAAACCAGCATGTCTCATTGATGTATGGTTGGCCTTCCCAGGATGATGTTGTATTCTGATGGGAAGTCAGCCACTATGAACCTAACTCGTTCTGATCTGAACGCTTCTTTTGTTCCCAGGGTTAATCTGAGATCAATGTAACCTTTAGGAGGCGTATGTTCTCCGTTAAAGGCTACCAACGTCGTTCTGCAAGGTTTGAGGTCCTCTTCATCCAGGTTCATCTTCTTAAAAGTGTCCCAGAGCATGATGTCGGCGCAACTTCCTGCGTCTACGAAAATCTTCCTGACCCGGCAGTTTACCAGGGTCCCTGCGATTACCAGTCCGTCAACATGACCGGGAAGCACCCCGCGCATGTCTTCCTTCGTAAAGTATAACAGAGGTGGATCTGGCTTGGTTGAGTCTTCCTTGAATTTGGGATGATCACGAATGGAGAGTACCTCTTTCAAGTACTTTCTTCTAGCACTTACAGTATCTCCTCCACCTCCCAATGCTCCACTAATCACATTACAATCAAATTCCACTTCAGGGAATTCATCATAGTTGGGATCATTTTTCTGATTCTTATCCTGCCTGTTCTTCTTTTCAGTAGCGGGGCTTTTGCTTCGGTTCCTGTTCCCCAGCTTCCTTTTATTCTTCTTGGAACCTTGAGTTTTTATCACATACTGACGTAATCTACCGTCTCTCACAAACTTTTCCACCGCGTCTCGGAGATCCCAGCACTGATCAGTGGTGTGACCTGGCCCATCGTGAAAGGCACAGTATTTGGATTTATCTAATCCTCCTCTGTCGAATATGGGACAAGGTCTCTCCACCTTTTTCATCTCCGTCGTGGCTACTTCTCTCCAAATTTGAGAGCGCAACGCATTCAAAGGCGTATACTTATCGTACCTTCCAATGCGTTCTCTCATGTCCGAGATCCGTTGGCGCTGGTCTTTCTTCTTACTGTCAACTCGTTCTTTTCCCTTCGGGGGTGGACTCTTCCTTCTCGGGCTTGTTCTGTTGACTTCATCAGATTGCGCATTTGCAATCTCCATTTGTTCTAGTTCAAGGTATTTCTTCGAGCGAGTTCTAAACTCCTCCAATGTCTTTACTGGGTCCTTGTAGACCGACTTGGAAAGTCTGGATCCGCCGTCCAGACCTGCAACAATGAGATGAACATGGACATTCTCCTGTAATCCTGGAACCTGCAGCGCAGCATCCTTGAACCGGTTAAGTTGTTGTCGTATCTTTCCAAGAGCGAACTCGGACTTGGGATGCTTCTTGCTGGTTGCGAAATTCAGCAAGAACTTCTGTCCGAACTCCTCGAAGGATCCGATAGAATTAGCAGGCAAGGTTGAAAACCATGCCTGCGCTGCCCCTGTCAATATTACAGCGAATATTCGGGATATGAGAGGTTCATCAATTCCCCGAATATACATATCTGTGTCAAAGGCATCTATGTGCACCTGCGGATCTTGGCTTCCATCATATTTCGGTAAACGTGCCGAGTCAAAGTCCTCTGGGAAGACAGCACTTAGTATTTCAGTAGTGAATGGGTTGTTATTATACTGCCCCCTGCTGTATTTCCTCCTATATCCGCCAGGTTCTACTCGTCCTCAGATGTTTTGAATATCCTATTGATACTGAGCTCTGACCCGATCCACCTGACCGTCAGTATGTGCTTGATGAGTTCGTGCATCCTGGTCATCAGTGACCTGATGCCCCTAGTTTAGCAGGTTGCCAGGGTTTTCTGCATGAGGGACTTGGTATGATTGAGCCGGTTTTCTAGGTCCTTCTCGGCTATGGGCAGGCTGGCCTTCGATATTGGTCATTCCTGGCGCATTCCGCCGTGTTAGTCGCTGCTCCAGGTCTTGCATACCTCTGTTATTCTCTTCTCGGATAGCCCTGAAATCTTGTTGCCGTTGCAAGTTTGTGCGGGTTTCCAACGCTGCTATTTGTTCCATAATTGTGTTTAATGCGTTGTTGGCCAGCCAAGTATCCGGATCGGCCGATTGAGCGATGCGTGCAGCCAGATCGCCAGGATGCTGGGGTGGGTTGCTCCTTAATGGAGCTACATTTGCTGCATTTCCCCTATTTCGGGGTGCTGGTGTGGAAGCGGTGTCCGAAACATCGTCTTCGACCTGGACGTGATCGTAATCCACGTTGTTTCCAATCTGAGTATGAGGCTGATTTATCTCCTCAATGACTGGATCCAACGGCTGATTTTGATTTTGGGGTGCCTGCTGGCTACTGCTCCTTGTCTGGATTGCCATCCTTTGTCAGATTTGGTGGGAACTTCAGATTCAAATTCAGAAAAGAATCCCCACAGACGGCGCCAATGTTCTGTCCTTGGGACAGAGATGTCTAGCCCAGTTAGGCTAGTACTATAATGACCCTAACTGGTAAATCTTAGTTAGAGATTTAATTTAAGGATTTAAATGCCATAATTAGATTCAGTGAGCGATTTCGATTATTTTGACTGTAATTATGACTATGTTATGAATAGTGCGTTCTGCCGGAGAATTTACAGTTTTGTGAATTAACCGGTAGAGCTTAAAATGAGCAAAATAATTTTAGGAACATAATTTGAAAATTCTGATGACAAATATGAGTTCAGAACGAAAAATTGTATAGTCTGGCACTTTCCGTGAAAATCTCATGAATAGTGTTTCTACCGGGTATTTTGTACTGCTGTTTAAGCAACCGGTAGAGTCCAGAAATAAATAATTGATGAAATAAGAATAAGAAAGTCCAATATATGCCAAGCAAGTCAATATAGGCCCAAGAAAATGATAAGTTTATAAGTGTTAAGTTTCAAAAGTAAATAAAGTACAGTTAGTGATTCACAGTGCATTTCATCAAAAACGGTGCAGAAACCATACTGTGAATTATGAATATTGTTTTGTAACAGATAAAAATTTATGTAAATGATTTTAGAAAAATAAAAATATATTTGTAGCCTTGAGTTAGTTCCGGGTTAGTTTAAGTGAAAATACGCGAAAGAAAAATACCCGGGTAAAAGGCCACATGTGCTCACTTTTTAAGTCACCTTAGTCTCACTTTCAAAACAATTTCTCTCTCTTCTCTTCTTCTAAAACCCGATCTGCACTTGGGAGAGAAAGGGATAGGGTTTGTTGATTTTTTTGCTTGATTTCCTTTGAATCTTCCACCAAAATACATGACCCACTACATGAAAATGCATGGAAACCACACAATGAAGCCATTCCAACCCTCCATGTGAGCTATTGTTGAGTGTAGGAGGAGTTATTTTCCTTCCCAAAACCGTGGCACTATTCACCACTTGAAGAAGATGAAGTTTTCCATGAAGTTCTACTTGATGGAAGGCTCCTAGGTCTTGATTTGTGATATTGAGGTAACAAATCTTCACTTCCATGTTAATGTGAGGTTATATGAGTTATAAAATATATATATGCCATGGATGTGAAGGTTTGGTGGGTTAAAAATGTAATGAAGAGGAATAAGTGATAATTTGTATGTGTAAATGGAAGGATAAGCATGATTATGTATTTAATAAATTGAAGGAAAATTTTATGCCTCCTCCCCTTGATGGCTCGGCCTTGTAGAGTTTAGGGGGTTAGTGTGTAAATTCTTATTGCATTTATTGACAAGGAAAAACATGTTGTAATTTAGTGTAAAGTGATAAAGTGATATGAATGATTAATTGGAAAGAAATCTTTTGGAAACCTACCCCCCTTGAGGCTCGGCCTTGATGGTTTATAAGGCTTGAGTTCCAAAAGTTTTGTTGGAATTTAGGAGAGGTATGTTTATGTATGTAGAGTATTAAATTAAGTGAAGGAAAACAAATGGACAAGAAAGAAAACCCTTAGCCTTCCTTCTAGGATTTTTGGCCTAATAGGGTAAAAATAAATAGAGATAGAGCATGTATTAATTGGTTAAAGTGTTGAGTACAATACATGAAATTATAAGAATGATTGGTTAAAATGGGCTAGACTTGTGTATTGGCATAGTATTGACATAGTATTGGCAAAAATATAAAGAAAGTAAAGTAAACAATAAAGTGTGTGCTTATGAAATAATCATGGCATAATATCATTTTATTGATGCATTGGAAATTATTCTCTAGGTGTGCCTAGGGATTGAGAAGGATCGGATATCTCTTGAAGCGATAAAAGTAACTTGTTCCACAAGTAAGCGTATTGGTAAAGCTTCAAGAGGTAAGCTCTATATTTAAGGAGTCTTTTCCTGCTTGAGTGCTCCACCATGGTTAGTGAACTATGGTTGGACTGTATGACTGTTATTAGATGCTTTGTATAGATGCATTCATATAGAGTTATTTGATAACATGATTTGTTTTGCTCTGATATGACTTCTGTAATATGATTTCTGTAGCAATCTCTGGCCATTGATTGTATAGTACCCGAATGTCCGCTTTGGGGTCCTCCCTCGGGACTGATGGTGTACACCTCTGATATGTCTGGTTCCGCTTTGGGGTCCTCCCTCGGGAACATGTGCGTTGATTTCCGCTTGGGGTCCTCCCTTGGGAATGACGACGCACACCTCTGATATGATATGGATAAATGCTCTGTTCTGTTATGATATCTGTTATATGTTGTATTCGTATACTCTGTATCTGACTTTCGTGCAGGAGTGAGCCAGGGGTATGGAGAATTCTCTATAAACCTGGAGCTTATGGAGATTTGTAATCTCACCCCTCTTTGGGGACATATTTTCAGGTGCCCTGATTCCCGGTGAGTCCTCACTAGGCAGGGACACGACACGTGGCTAAGGCAGTTGACAGATCGGATTTTGAGTGGCTGTAGGCTACTACCTTTTGGAGTGTTTGATGTCTTTTAGTATTTCCGCATTTGATGGATCACGATATTGATCCTTTATTTTGTATATGGCCTGTATATGTTTTGTACATGTCTGTCACTTTGATGCATGTACATTTGGGTATTCAGGCACGTTATGTGATGAGGTAGTATTCAGATATGTTTACCTATTGGATTGCATGCTGTTAGATATAGTGGCACTGAGCCAAGTTATGCATGCGCCCATGGATGGGCATTTGAGTATATTTGTATAAACTGTTTATCAGGAAATGCTTCTGTGTGGGATTGGAAAATCCCCAGTTGTCCGATTTATAGAGGAAACTCTGCCCGATTTTCGTTTACGACGAATGAGAATTTAAAAATAAAAAGAAAAAAAGTTAGCTCGTATTTTCAGAAGTTAAGTCTTCCGCTGTTTTCTGTTTTATCATATGTATGTTAATTGAACCGGCTCGAGACGGGGATGTTACAAGTACGTTGGTATCGGATCTGATGTCCTCTCCAAGGTATCTATGAGAGAGATACCCTTGAGTCGGGAAGATCACTGTGCACAGAATACAATGATGGCGTTAGCCAATGGGGTGTGTGTGTGCACAGTGACAGCATAACAATTAGAGAGAGAATGTGTGTACCTTTTAGGGTTTGCCCTGGTATTTATAGAGGTTACCTGTAGATAGCTTGGATAGCTATGCTGACACATCAAGTGGGTAGCTATGCTGACACATCAAGTGGATAGTTGTGCTGACTCATCAACTTTTGGATTGCCCCTTGTTGGGCTTGTTACTTAATGGGCCCATCGTATGGGTCCATAACAGTATAGGAAGCTAATGTGAGGTTTATAAGGTCTTGAGTACGTACTCTCATCCTTTGAACTAGCTTTTGGTGTAGTGATATCAAGGTTCATAACAAAGAATAGACTAAGTAGACTATCCTGAGCTTATGGCTTTCAAAATAATGGTTTATATCAGATGCTTAGGGAAATGATGTTACGTTAATCATAATTTTATTAACAAAATCATGGTTTAGCACCATCATTATTCAATGATATGCTTACGATATCATTAAATAAACTTGGCTATGATAATTAATAACTACTTCAAAACTCAAACAATATATGTTAATAGCACGTCAACACATGATTTAATAAAAAAAAAAGTCACTCCCAATTAAATATGAGTGTGAGGTGAGGACAATCTTTATACGCAATCTTATCCTTGCAAATAATTGCAAATACGTTGTTTTCCCAATTCGAACTCATAATCTCTTAGTCAAAAAAGAATAACTTTATCACTGTTCTGGTTCGCACTCAACACATGATTTAATGATAATAAAAAGAAATTACACCTGGATCAAATTGAATTCTTCATGAAGTAAAAAGTAATTTCATATCATTAATATGAGATTTTATAACTTTGATTTACATGAAAGAACATTTAACCGAAGAGTGAGATTTATGAGAAAATATTCAAATAAATCTGTTTAATATTTCAAGAGTATAAGAATGATTTTAATTTGGTAAAAATATACTTTTTGTTCCTGAAATTTATTCTGGGTTATAATTTTATTCCAACACTATGTTTTGTTTCATTTTTATCCGAAATCTTTTCAGAACCCTTCAAATTCATCCCAATCTTTAAAATGTTAACAAGTTAAGTAAACTTGACGAAATGACAACGTGAAAACAATCTTTTCAAGTGATTAATGAAACTTCTCCTCCCTACTGATGTAGTTGGAAAATCAAATTCTAGATTATTGCTAATGGATTAGCAAAGATAGGGTTCAGTTGAATTTTATTTTTATTTTTTCATTATTTGGAGGCTAGACACATTTTAGATGCGCATATGCCTTGGTGTAATTAATAGTTTTTTTTTTTTTTTTTGAAGAAGGTGTAATTAATAGTTATATACAATGAAATGTGATTACAGCGATATGATATTTTTTTTTGGAAAAAAGGTGTGTCATTTTAAATGACACACCTTATATTCTTTTACTCTCACAAAGAGATGGAATTCACACATTTAAAACTTTTTCTACCCGTTCTCTTCCTCTTGATTTATCTCTTTCTCCCACTTAAAATGACACAATTTTGTGTCCTTCAAAATGATATACAATTTTCCCAATTTTTTTAATTAAGATTGTTATGAGACTTTGTCCTTGTAATTTTTTAATTGGGAAAAATGTAGTGATACTCTTTAAACTTTATCACCTTTTGAAGTAGCCACAATGAGTTTTCATACCAGACAACGCTCAAGCTTTTCAAAACATGTAAACGAAAGCTTCCATACATAACCTAACAAACTATTCATTGTGTGACTTATATATATACATGTGGTTTGCTAATATTTTTATTTATAAAAAAAATTCCTTCTAATTTAATTCTGTGGGATCCTAGAGAGTTGTGGTTCGTGCAGGAGTGAGCCAGGGGTATGGAGAATTCTCTATAAACCTGGAGCTTATGGAGA